ATCTATCTATGTGCCATCCATCCATCCATCCATCCATCCATCCATCCATCCATCCATCCATCCATCCATCCATCCATCCCTCCCTCCCTCCCTCCCTCCCTCCCTGCCTGCCTGCCTGCCTGCCTGCCTGCCTGCCTGCCTACCTACCTACCTACCTACATATATACATACATATATACATACATACACACACAATATCACAGAAGTGAGTACACCCCCTCACATTTTGTAAATACTTAAGTATATCATTTCATGGGACAACACTGAAGAAATGACACTTGGCTACAATGCAAAGTAGTGAGTATACACCTTGTATAACAGTGTAAATGTGCTGTCCCCTCAAAATAACGCAACACACAGCCATTAATGTCTAACCTGCTGGCAACAAAGCTGAGTACTAGGATCATATGTGGGGGAAGTATGTATCTATCTATCTACCACCTGCCTATCCATCTCCTTTCATGATGGATGAATTGGTCATAGTGGTATTTCTATCAATCTCTCTGCATTTGCACAGTTTGAGGCATCCCCTCTTCTTGCTCCCTTCTCCCCCTCCTCAAGGTTCCTGGATTACCTCTCCGACCTGTGTGTTTCCAACACAGCTGCCATTCCAGTCACCCAGGAGCTCATTTGCAAATACATGCTGAGTCCCGGAAATGCCGACATCCTCATTCAGACCAAGTAAGCCCGCCGAGATCTACTGGTAACGGTTCCCCGCCGCTTCTCTTAAGCCACGTCTTCCTGTCAAGCCTGGGTTGTGATTGTGTCCGTTGTTGTTTTAAAGGCTGGTTTCCATGCAAATGGACAATCCCTTGAATTGCTCCTCCCTTTCGGACGACATGGAAGAAGAGGAGGTGTGGCTCTACTGGATCGACAGTAACAAAGAGCCCCACGGGAAGGCCATCCGCCATCTTGCTCAGGAGGCCAAGGAGGGCACCAAAACTGACTTAGAGGTCCTTACCTACTACAGGTAATTTTTCTCAAAACTGTATGCGATCCTAAGCCATTATCCCTTCTTTAGCTTCACTGACCATCACAGGCGTTCCAATTACATTGAAGCACCTGGACAGGCCAAGGTAGGTACAGTGATGAATGGACCCTGTGTTAGAAATTAGCTTATATAATCTATCTATCTATCTATCTATCTATCTATCTATCTATCTATCTATCTATCTATCTATCTATCTAGGCTGTCTGTCTGTTTGTTTGTATGTTTGTATGTATGTATGTTCCAGCATAACTCTGAAATGCCTCGAGCAATTTCAACCAAACTTGGTACACAGATGACTTGCTCTCTGGAAAAAAATACTGTGTGGGTAAGACACCCCTAACACCCCTTGGCGTGTGTGTTCTGTTAAGATGCAGACTGTTGTGCCTTTAAATGACTTCTACTGTACTGCCATAAAATGGCTTGTACTGTGCAGCGCAGTGGAGTTGCCATGGTAACAGTTTTACAGTACTCCACAAGGGGGCTCCCTCTGGCAAAGGGGAAAATCCAACATTAGAAATTATGTTTGGTCCGGACATTTTCCCCCTATAAATGAATTGGGGTGTGTGTGTGTGTGTGTGTGTGTGTGTGTGTGTGTCATCTCAATTTGAGAAACATGAATTGAACCCAATTCATCTTCAGCACAGCTCCATTAGCACGTGAGGGAAATTAAAGGGTGGGGGGAAGGTGTCCAAATGAAACTGGAAGTAGCCAGGTGTGGCCTTACTAAGGATTTATATAAAGTGGTGAGGATTACCTGTAACATTTCGAATCTTCAGGAATTGGAAACTTGGGCTCATCTGGAAGGGAGAACATCTGAGCTGTTTCATGTGTGATCTGCAGATATTTTGTGTTCTTCTTTTAAACTCAGTTTCTTTCATTTGATTAAATAGAACAGAATAGAGTAGAATAAGGAATAGAATAGAAATATGAAATGGAATGGAATAGAGACTAGAATAAGAAAAGAATTAGAATAGAATAAAAAGAACAGAATTGGAAAGAATAAAATAGAATAGAATACAATATATTAGAATAAGAAAGGAATTAGATTTAGATTAGATTAGAATTAGAATAGAATAGAAATATGAAATGGAATGGAATAGAGAATAGAATAAGAAAAGAATTAGAATAGAATAGAAAAGAACAGAACAGAATAGAATTGGAAAGAATAAAATAGAATAGAATACAATATATTAGAATAGGAAAGGAATTAGATTTAGATTAGAATTAGAATTAGAATTAGAATAGAATAGAAAAGAAATATGAAATGGAATGGAATAGAGAATAGAATAAGAAAAGAATTAGAATAGAATAGAAAAGAATAGAATAGAATTGGAAAGAATAAAGTAGAATAGAATACAATATATTAGAATAAGAAAAGAATTAGATTTAGATTAGATTAGAATTAGAATAGAATAACAAATTAGAATAATAGAGTTGGAAGGGACCTTGGAGGTCTTCTAGTCCAACCCCTGCTCAGGGACGCAGTCCTATATAACATTTCAGACAAAAAAAAATAAAGTCTGGAGTTTGTACACAGGCTTGTACTCAACTCCCATGGTTGAACACTGTGGGTTTTACTTCTCGGTAAGCTTAAATTGGATCACACCATAAATACTTAAACCAAAGAATTTAAAAACATTTCTGGAATTTGTTATAGGGATTGCTGTGTGTGCAGATATTCAGATATTCTGGGTCTGATTTTTGTAACCCAAAGGATAGTTTGAACAAAAAAAAAAATGCCAAAGGTGCTCCCCCCCCCCTCAAGAGGCACCTGGACTTTCTTGTTTTTCTTTGAAGACGTTTTGCTTCTCATCCAAGAAGCTTCTTCAGCTCCGAAGCTCTGAAGAAGCTTCTTGGATGAGAAACGAAATGCCTTCAAGGAAAAACATAAAGGAAGTCCAGTTGCCTCTTTAAAAAAAAAGCACCTTTGGGACCACCACGACCACCATCTCCATAAACAAAAAATAAAAAAGGAAGATGTCGATTCTGATCAACATGCCCCATTCATGCGGCGGTGAGCTTCTTCCTTTAGCGACGGTGTTTTAGGGAAACGAAGGCGGGTTGCGAATAACAAGTTTATTTTCTTACCTTAAGGTATCAGCTCAACCTCTTTGCAAGGATGTGTCTGGACCGCCAGTACTTGGCTATAAATCAGATTTCCACCCAGCTGTCGGTGGATTTGATCTTGCGCTGCATGTCGGATGAAAGCTTACCTTACGAGCTGCGAGCTTCGTTTTGTCGCCTGATGCTCCACATGCACGTCGACCGAGACCCTCAAGAGACGGGGGTCCCTGTGAAGTACGCCAGGCTGTGGACGGAAATTCCTACCAAGATTACTATCCATGAGTAAGTTCCTTTCCGGAAACGACAGATGTGTCCTTCAACAACAATGGGTGGCTCGCGACTTCCGAGCGATCGCTAAACAGGTTACGATGGACTCGAAAAAAAGCTACTTGTGACCGAGTTGTGACCGCCACGTCGCTTGTTGTGTCCTGCCAGCAGCTAGCGGAGCCTCAGACAGTGAAAAGGTTGGGGAGGGACATGGGCCAGTCCTGGAGTCTGGAGAAGGATCAGATGAGGGCATGTTTTTTTAGTAATCTTTTCATGTTCTGTTTTTTTTTTTTTTTAAGGGAAAAAAAACTTTTTTGAGAATTTAAAACACTAGAATACAAATACCTTTAAAAGTTTCCAAGTTTCCAAGTTTAATAGAATTTGTATGCCGCCCACTCCCATAGGGACTCTGGGCGGCTCACAACAAGACAAAGAAACATTTAAAATTTAAAAATAGAAAATACAATATTAAAATTCCACATCATCCATTCCATCTAAGCGGGGCTGGATATCAATCAACAGCCCCAGGCCTGCCGGAACAGCCAGGTCTTGATTGAGATACCATCAATTTCAATTTCAATTTAATAAAATTTGTATGCCGCCCACTCCCATTGGGACTCTGGGCGGCTCACAACAAGACAAAGAAACATTTAAAATTTAAAAATAGAAAATACAATATTAAAATTTCCACATCATCCATTCCATCTAAACAGGGCTGGATATCAATCAACAGCCCCAGGCCTGCTGGAACAGCCAGGTCTTGACGGCTTTACGGAAGGCCGGGAGAGTGGTAAGGGTCTGGATCTCTACGGGTAGATCGTTCTACAGGGCCGGAGCAGCAACAGAGAAGGCC